GACCAAATTGTTGGACCGAACGGACTAGAGAGTCCAGTCCGAACGGACCAAGTGTTGGACCGAATGGACTGAACCGTCAGACCGAACGGACCAAGTTATATGACTGGTTCGAACGGACCAAGTGTCCAGACCGAACGGACTACTAAGCAGTCCGTTCGGTCTGGGTTTCGAATTTAATTTTAAAAGTCTGGATCTAGGGTTAATCACTTGAATAAGAGGAGATTAATATCCCTAACACTAAGGGGCCGAAAAATAGAACTTCTTCAGACCTTTTTGGAGAGTCTAGAGGGTTGAAGAAGTGATCTAGATCTCGTTTTCTTAAAGCACATCATCGAATAGAAGATTCGAGTCCTAGCAGACAAGTTCCAAAGGTTGGAATCCATCCCGAGGTGTGGATACGTGTAGAGGGCAAGGTATTCTTCCTGTCTATAGTGATCGGACGAACACATCAATTGAAACAGGCTCCGGATCGATTGAGGTAAGCATTCTAACGTTTCTACAAGATCATGCATGATAGGTTTTAGGGTTTCATCAAAATTTTTGTTTTTCATCTGCTGCGCAAACCCTAGAACTGATCTTTTAGGAATTAGATTCGCTCTTGAGATCCCAAGAATACCCAACACGTTACTTCTCTGATCTCATAGGCAGGAAAGATCAGTCAATCAGGGTTCCATCATTAGATCACCTCCAAACCTTGATATCTTTCAGATGCCCTACAGATCTCAGCATGGGGCTCACAGATATTCCAACTGCAGAGGAAATCAAACAGATCCTTTGGTCGTTCCCGAACAACAAGGCACCTGGTCCGGATGGCTTTCCAAAAGAATTCTTTGTTGGGGCATGGAACATAGTCGGAGATGACTTGATACGCGTTGTACATGACTTTTTTTATCTCCCGAACACTACTAGGCCAGGTCAATGCTACATCAATAGTTCTCATCCTCATGTTGGATTAGCTCTGCTGCAAGAAGCACGTTTTCAGCCATAAACCGACCTTTCAAGAAGGCCGCCTGGTTCCCGGAGATCAAACTCTGAAGTATAGGTCTGAATCTTCTTGCTAATATGGTAGATATAATCTTGTATAGTGTGTTGCAGCAGTTTATTGGCCGAAACTATTGATGTCTTTTTTGGGATGAGAACTATTGATTAGCATTGACCTGGCCTAGTAGTGTTCGGGAGATAAAAAAAGTCATGTACAACGCGTATCAAGTCATCTCCGACTATGTTCCATGCCCCAACAAAGAATTCTTTTGGAAAGCCATCCGGACCAGGTGCCTTGTTGTTCGGGAACGACCAAAGGATCTGTTTGATTTCCTCTGCAGTTGGAATATCTGTGAGCCCCATGCTGAGATCTGTAGGGCATCTGAAAGATATCAAGGTTTGGAGGTGATCTAATGATGGAACCCTGATTGATTGATCTTTCCTGCCTATGAGATCAGAGAAGTAACGTGTTGGATATTCCTGGGATCTCAAG